TTTTTTTTGTTTTTTTTTTTTTTTTGTTTTTTTAGATGAATAATACCAGTATTAATTACTAATCAGATTAGATGAGTTAAATATAAAATATATAACAAAAAACAAGTACAAACATAATAATAGAATGTTAAGAACAAATAGATTCTATTCAGTGCAATAAATGAAAAAAGTAACTAATATAAGAATGTAACTTATTAAAAACATTGGTAAAATGAAATGAAAAATGTTAGGCCGAATATATAAGTCAACTGCGTTATTCAGCACTTAAGAAAATAAGGAATATTAGGCACCTTAATTCATCTCTTTAAACAACTAAGCAATTAACTCTGTTTGTTATTAAACTATGCAATGCGTGTGGTATAATTAATCAATTACAGAAGCAAGGAGAATGAGAAGCGGGGACGAAAGAGTAAAAAGTCCTACCTTGGTAGCAGTACTTCTTCCGTAAGTTAGACAATCTCCTAGAGAGAAAATTCTCAATTCTTGTTAAGAAGAAAGTGCGAAAACAATGAAGTACTAAACTTATCACGCAAAATAGAGTCTGTACAAGCTGTTACTAAAATGAAAATTTCACCAAAAGCACTAAAATTGAAGTAGATGACCTATAGAGATGCAAAGTTCACTTTTTAGTCCTCTCAAGTCCTCTGAAAAACTTGAGAGGAAAATTCTCGGTCCTGTTTCCGTTTTCCAATTGAATAAAGAGTAACTGCACAATTGAGGATATCCTGGAGGTAGAAAGGGAGAGGGGCCATTCGCGCTAGAATTAAGCACGCTTTAAAGCTTGGTCACCGACGGGGTTTCTTTGTTTACATCAAAGCCGCTTGACAAGATTCTGTAGTATTTCGACACACGAACAATTCCTAGAAACGAAAAAGGGACACTCTCGCATGAAGAAACATTCATGTGTATGGATAATACATTTGTATAGTACTGACATTTACGCAAAAATCACATCTTGGTTATTTTTCTAAACTAACACAGCGATTTTGATTATAGTTGTTTTAATAAAATTCTAACAGTAACTACAAAGATATAGATTTTAAGAAAATTGCTAAAAGAGATCTCCAAAATTTATTTTCTAGAAGATTGAAAGTTTGTAACTTGAGCTAAATGTAAATATAAATTATGTATGTTAAAATATTTGTAATTAGGCACATAGGTAGATTAAGTTTTTTTAATAGAGTACGCATGCAAGGGCTATTGCCTAAAGAGAGATGCCATCGTGGAGGAATTTGAAGAAAAACGACCTTTGAGTGGGTATTAAAAATAATACTTATAATTTTCATTCAAATTATATTCATATATATTTTTATTTAAAACTTCGGGGGTGCTAAATTAGTGTAATTACTTTACACGAAAAATATAGTGAATGCACAGAAATTAAAGATTTGCACACGGAAATAAAATAGGAAATAGTATGGGTATTTATGCTGTGTTTTGCAAAAGGATGTATCTGCCTTTGACAAAATCTTAATATTCATTAAATTTATAAGTGTATTTGAAATGAGAATTATTCCTTATAAACCTGTGAAAGTACTGTGAAGAAATCTAATGATTAAATGTATCTAATTTATAATGATTATAAATTTATCTAAATATATAATAACCTAATATTGAATTGGAAACATAAATTGAAATCCTGTTGACAAATACGTTATAAACTATTAAGCAAGAATTGTTCGTATTGAAGGCATCTGTTTAAAAGGTATTGTAAAGCAAAATGCTATGAGATGCCACTTAATAAACGTAAATAAGAGTTTTGGAATTGTATTGTTGAAATGAAGGGTTAAAAAAAAAAAAAAAAATGATAAGTATAATTAAAGAATTTTCCCTTACATTTTATAATAACTCAGTTACAGTTTTAAATAATACTAAAAAAAAAAAAAACTTATTTTATTCCTTTCAGAATGTTCAGAGAAGTCAATACCTATTTAATTATTAGGAATAGCGAAATACTTATTTAAGTATTTCGCTAATTCCTAATAATTCTCTAATTTAAAATGAACCGAATAGAGCATTAATTATAAATTGACTATATTTTCGATTTAAAAGAAGCCAAAAAATCATGTCATATTTAAGAAATTTTAGGAAGAAGCTCTATAAATAGAAAAGAAATAATGCATAATTTTAATATTAATAATACAATAAACTTTGATCTTAATTTTTGTACCTTAACCGAATAAAATCGAATTACCTTAATTTTTTTTCTAATGTAATTAACGAAACTTGTGAAAATATTTCTTCAAATTTAAACATTCTGAGAAACTGTCCTGTGAAAAGTATAGCATTTAATTCGTTCAGAATGAAATGTTGTTTAAAAATATTTTTTCACATACTTAGGACTCTGAAGTGTTTTAGAAAAAAGAAAATATATACATTTATATGTATATTTGCGACGGTAAATTAGAAATATTTACACCCAACGCGTCAAATCCCATAGAACTCAATGGTAAATGACCCAAGTTTTGGTCACCACGTAGGGATCGCCGGTGCTTCAGAGCAGGGTACGGAGAAACTTGTTTAGGGCGACTCCATCTTACTTCCTACCTCCATGGGAATATCCACTGTAGTAAAAACCGCAAACGTAGTGGGAGAGACTCTTTGTTCGAAGGGTCCTGGCGTCACCACCGGTTTTCCGGTGGTGACGGTCCTGGGGGCAAGGGGAACGTTGTAGATTCCTTCCTTGTGGGGATTGCTGAGGTGGGATTTTCCTCCAGGGTAGAAGGGAGAAAATAAGCCAAATTTTATATTTTCTGAACTATTTGACGGAGAATCTTTTAATTTAGAAATCCTTAATCGTCCATTTTCCGCTGATTGTTGTCATCTTTTTTTCGTGAAAAATGGGCTGTGAAAACTGGAGAAACTGCCTGATGAAGAAACCACTAGTACCTTTTGTTATCAACAGCTTTTTCTTATCTCTTTGGAGCTCTTTGTCATAGTTAGCAATACGTTCAGGGATGAAACCGTACTTTTTCCTGCAATTTCACAGATGACTCATCACACCACGTGCTAGCTAAATAATCTTACGTAATTAAAGTAATAATAATCTGATCATACGAAAAATAGTTCCAAGGAAAACCTGACACGATTGCGCGTCCGGTGATATAAATCTTGAGAGTAAATGATGGACTAAAAAGCCATGTTGTTCTTCCCTTGCATGAACAATGGCGGACACAATGGGCTCCCACGAGTAAACTAGAAATTAATTAATAACTTTTTACGTATGGATGATACAGGCTTAATCCATATATCAAAACGCACGTCTTGGCTTCCTCAATAGTATGGTATGATTTACTCAACCTAATTATGAGGACTTACGCGAAAAATTGCGAATATTGAGGAGCGTGAAAACAGCGATGCACGGCAGTTCTTCGGCAGGTGCTCTCAATCTGTATTTTGATCAGTAAGTACACAGCAAAAATGTTGAAATAAGAGCTACCTTATTATCGTCCAAATAAATATCGACCGATATATTTTCGATATTTACACGCGTATTATTTTATACAAACATTATCTTCTTTGAAACTTTTAAAAGTGCAGTACAAAATTTTGTTGCTAAGTCATTTTATGCTAATATGAACTGCATTCCGAAAACCAGAGGTATGTTGTATTTTTATTTATATGTGAAAAATTTCTTATTTTTGAAACCAGTTTTGAATTAAATGTATCGTGCGTCTACTAACACATAACATTGCATAAAAAATCTAGAAATTAAAGTTATATGCCACAAGTTTAATTTAATAAGCATTTCTTCAAAACCTATAAATTTTTTAAGTTCACAATTTGAGAATGCTTATTAATAGTGCTTACTAATAAACAGGCTGAGAGAACAATGTCCTTATGCAGTGTATTCATACGGAACAACCTGAGCACATTTACTTATAAAATAACGCCGTAGTTTAACTTAATACTTATTTTCTATCTAAATTCTATCCGTTACTTCTTCAGAGCATGGATGAAATCTTGGTTTAGTTCTAGAACAGATTTTAACGCCATCGCATCTTCCAAGTATCATTCCACAATTATTCTCTGGATTTGAATTATGGGGAAGCTATGGGGAACTATGGGGATTATTCAGAAGATATCATTGTTATCCCAGTTTCCAGAAATACCAGCATCACTTTTAAGGATCAGCTCACGTCCAGAATAATGTTGAAACGGTTTTTTCATACTTGAATAAAACTTTGACGTACTGTACTGCAATCTAATTTCTGCGGATGCGACTGAAAATATAAACTGCATTGAGCTCTAGATAGAAGAATATGAACCACAAATTTTCTGTCTTATCGTCTAACATATTTTAGACATTTTATCTTAATTTACTACAACGTCCATATGCTAAATAGGAGACTTCCCACAAACTGATCGGTCATGACCCAAAAGTATTTCAAGGAGATATTCTTCTAATTAAATAGATAACTCTGCATGCTTTGCTGTATTAACAACAAACAAACAGAATATATTAGAACATTCTTGTAAACTATGGGCGCTCTTTAGTTGGTTTCTACGAACGCTTATCTGGTTAATCTGATGTCTGATCTTACACATCTGAAATCTAAAGTATGGTACTAATATCTAAAGTTAGTAGTATCGACAAAATATACAAAAATATTCAAACATGTCTGCTAGTTTTAATTCTAAATTGAGATAACTTTAAAAATTAGGTAAACTGTTTTAATCTGACACATAACACCAGTTTAAGCGCTTTGCTTGAGAAAATAATTTTCTAGCCTGAAATTTTATTTAAAAGATTAAAAAAAAAATAAATATAAATCTGAAGAGAATACACAAATTTTTTCTTTCTCCATAGGTTCAATATTACATAGCATAATTATTCATTATGAGCTGATACAAATGCTGATTTCGAATTATGGTTATCAAATCATTGCTTCACATCTTCGACTTTTTAACATTATATCACATATTTTATAAAAGTCTATTTCCAAAAATTAGAGATAACGTTCAGTTTAAATTTTAAATACTTCCAGCAGAAGCCTTACCTTTCTTCGTGGTTATTCTTCTTTATAAAAGCAACTGCAAACTCGTGAAAGCTATTGCAAGATAAACTGTGATGTATACGGACAGCTTACTCATCATTTACTATAAACAAATGTTCTGATCGGTCGACTATATATATCAGAGACTCACATCCAAACGAGTCTCATCACGCAAAGCTTTCAAAATAGCATCCTTTTAACAAATACACTGCGTAAATCTGTCTTCTTGTTGTTTCCCCATTCTCAGCTGTTTTAGCCATCCCTTTCCTTATGTCTTTCGCTTCCGCACGGAACGGACAAGCAAGCGTTGATTTTTTGTAGTTAAATGAAATAAATTGCCGTGACCATACAAACTATTGATATAAATATTAGAATAACTTTTTCCCAAGAAAGAAAGGGAAGAAAATTGAGGAAGACAGTCTGTCGTCGCCAGTTAATCACACAGTTCATTAGATTTAGCGTATGTCACATGTGCTTCAATTAAATGTCTTAAATTTAGCAGTGTCTGGTGAATTCCTTATATATAGATTGCCCAATTATTTTAATACTCTTTCTTTCTCCTTTTTAAATAATCAAAAACCTGAGTCATAATTTTAATGGAAACATCTTATGAAACATAGATATTTTCAAATGCTATTTCGAAGGAAGAATTGCGATATATGCGAACGAGAATTTATAGAATGAGATTAGGCAAATGACATCAGATCTTACATTCCATAACGCACAGTTCATTGATTTTACCATGAATTTGAATCTTCACACATGCACGTTATATTTTGCATTTAAAATTTATGTTTTTAAATGAAATACTTCCTACGCTTTGTGAATCTACGTATTCTGAGAGTGATAATTCATGCGTTATATATCTTACATCTCTTATAACAATGGTATCCAAAATCTTGATAATAGGAGAATTCAGGAAATTTAAGATCACCAGATCCCTATTTACATTTTTTAAAAGTAATTAATTATCTTTTGAATGGGAAGAAATGTTTAGTTTTTTTAGACAGAAAAACAAACGTTTTCATTTTTACCGCCGTTTATAACTGTTGGCTGGTTTTGGTAGAAGTAATATTTCCCCTTTCTCCAATATGCCGAATAGGATAAGGGTTACAGGGCCAATCTTGTTACTGAACCAATTCGAACTCCGAATCATGCTCTTCAAACCAGTCTGAAGTCAATCGTGCACAGAGACAAGCTGCATTGTTTTGTTGAAAGTGATCATCTGTGTCAGGGAATATCACAGCAATAAACGAGTGTATGGGATCAACAAGGATAGTGAAGTAAGCTTAGAAAGTTGTCATGGTACTGACAGTCATGCTGTCTTAATGTCATGGGGCTGCCGGTTGTTTTCATACATACAGACGGACACATTAAATTCTAAAGAAATATTTCTGAGACAATAATTCCTCAGCCACCAACATGAATTCTTGTCACTGGGCTAGAAGTTGTAGATGAATTCTTTTGTATGCTCCATATTCTGGCATTGTAATCTGCAAATGTAACAGGAAAAATAGTACAGACCAAGCAAATTTTTCCGTCGTCAGGGCTCCAGTTTTGTTGCTCCTGGGTCCCTAGCAATCGTGATTTCATGTTTATCAACAATAGCATAGACGTTCTTGACAATCTTCCACTGTTAAAATCCTTCCGTTGTAAATTCTATCATTTTGCATATTAAGGTATGCATTGCAACGATCTTGAATCATACTGAGTTGCAATTTGTCGTTGCCCTTTTGTTGCTAAGAGCTGTTCGTGTCAGCCGTTTTCACCTCTTTCGGTCCGTAACATTTAACGTCCAGAATTATCTTTATCACCTTAAGTTTGTTTCTCAGCATCTGCTCTGTAAACATTCGAGATCATGTTGCAGGAAGAAAATATAGAACAGAAAACAATTTCAGAGATATCATAATTGAGTGTTCTTAGATCAACGATCATGTCTCTTTCAAAGTTACTTTATCTTCCGTTTTGCCCATTTTCATAATAGCCATACTAGTAATGGTTTCTTCACAACATGATTACGTTTCATGTAAGTAACTCTAGGTTGTTGCATCACTATACTTCACTGACAGACTAATTCATGTTGGAAAAAAAGAGGCTACTCTAAACTTTCGGCCACTCAATGTAGACACCCTATTGCTAATAGGTTCTGAATACTTCCGCTAACTCATATCGTGGTATATGAACGTTATGTTACGTACTTATCTCCATTTATATAATAAATGAGATAGTCAGCCATGGACGCTGAAATCTGAATTGCTTCTTAAATATGTTTGCGTTTTTTATTCGTGTTTACGCTTTCCCAGGATTCCATTTCATTACCTTTCAAAAGTAGGTTTTTATATGAAACTAGTGAGTTCCGATTCGCTAACGAATCGAATAACGATGCGTTAAACTGGATGCGATATGAATTGCATAAAAATGAGAATGGAAGAATAAAACACTCGTAAAGTTGTATATAAAGAATAATGCGTTTTGAGTTGTTAGAGAGAATAAATTCAACTTTAAAGCTGTACATACATTTTGGGACTTGGCGTTAAGATTAAACGAAGGTTAAGCAAAATTAAGTTGTAGAGGCATTAGGCTATATTGAAACAGAAGATGTGAAAAATGTCCAGTGCCCTCGTCGGGACTCGAACCTGGACTTCTCGAATACGTGCCGAGTGTGCTACCGTTACACCACGAAGGCATGCAGAAAGGAGAGAGAAAATGCCTTATAAAATAATAAACAAATAATATTAAATGAAGATTTATCAATTATTTTATTGTTTTACCTTATAATCCGATTGTCTAACGAACCGAATAAGCGAATGCGGTGAAACTCCGTACGGTATCAATTGCATGGGAATGAAAATGATGGAATAAAAGAAATTTAAAGTTGTTTCAAGAGAATAATACGTTTTGATTTGTTAAAGAGAATAAATCCAACGTTAAAGTTGTACTTATATTTTGAGACATTTACATTTAGAGATAAGGTAAAACGAAGGTTAAATGAAATTAAATAATGAATAAATAACACTAAATAAAGATTAAACGTAGATGGATAAGTTTTTCTATTGTTTTATTTTGCAACATAAGTCAAACTTTGCATAATAATGAGCAGTAAAGTTAGCAAAATAAATTAACTTATGAAATTAATCAAAAACTTCACTGTGCATAATGTTTTAAGTAAAAATATTGTTAAACATTAATAAACATTGTTCAGCTGAGTGCGTCCACGTCCCACATACTTCTTTCTCTGATCCTTTTTTATTATAATATACATTATGCTAGTAAAATAAGAGTAATTAATACATAAAAAAAGTTATATTACATAAAAGTTTTGACAATAAAATCTATTTACGGTTTCAAAACTTGAACTATAAACTAAGACTATACTGTGCAGTTCACTAATTCCTCCTCGTACTTTAATTTAGAAACCACTGTTCTGAGAAAAAAGGGGTTCAACAGGTAAAATGGCAAGTGATGTTTGCATACGTGATAAGATTGGCGACCCTGACCACTATGTATTTGATTGCTTATTTCTACAACCAAATCCGGAAACGAATAGCTGATCTTTAAGTTTTGCAATATATCAATAATGCAATTAGAGCATCATTTATGGACTATAAGATATTACTAACTAATTGATTAAAATCTTCATGCTATTTATTATAGATAATTTTCAATTAGTACTATTTTTATTAAATTTAATCAGGTCTAGAAATTAAATTATATACGAACTACATTAATTTTAATATGCGTTAAAAATTAAATTTTACACAGTTTACTAAATGTAATACAGAGCTAATACAGCATACATTATTGCTCTCATTAATAAACTTTTACAAAAATTTAGTTAAAATTTCTGTAACAATGAAAGCGGTTTTATCAGCTAAGCATAAATAAATGCGAGATTGAACGATATGGTCACTCAGTTAAAGGAAGATGCACGCACACCCGTACTCTTGCTAAAATTTCTTACAAAAATGTATTTCAGATAGCTATTTGAGTCAAGCTTTTACTAATCGTTGGTATTTTTCAATGTACTTTGAGAAATTAAATATAACGTACTGTACATATTATGCTATAGGTTAGATAGTGATGTTGCTAATACTATTCTGAAATCTGCTCTGCTACAATATAAAAAATTACCATCCTTCATTGATATCAACTAATGAGCCTAAAAAACTTCTAAATGTGAGCCATACAAAAAGAATGTCTAGTAGTCTAGTATAATGAAATACTTGATTGTTTTCTTTATGCTACGTATTAGTTGAAAAATGAAATGCACTGCAAGGCCCACCAGCAGCCGAGAGTAAAATCGCTTGAACGCTAGAAGTTCGGTTCGAGGTTCGAATCCCGCGAACGGGATGGCTGCATCAGCGTTTTTGTAGCTTCCCGCATGCGTAACGTGTATACGAGAACGTCCTCCACGAAGGCATCTCTTCCCTTACGCCGATAGCCCTCGAGGCTTTCCCATAATCACCTAAACCAAAACATGAAGAGTACTGCTGTTTGTATGCGATGCATAAATTTTTATCTGCATTTTTATTTTCTGTAGCATTTATAAGTACACAAATCTTTCAGTCAATCTTGATAAATGCAGTTTGCATTCTCAGTAAGAAGTCCTTTTAATTCATGACAAGCGTTAACGGAATTAAGGTGACGGCGCGTTTGTGTTATTCGCAAGTGAAGGTTAAAGACAAAATTAAGTGTCCACTTGGAATTCTTTAGAGTAAGGCACTTAGAAGTGATGAGTGTTTGAAATAGCGTTTACAGCAATTTGGAATATTGTGATTACAGAAATCAAAAACTGAAAGCGTATGTGGCAAAACTCGAACAGTTTTTAATGACGAAACTTTCATTGTGTACTGCTTGAAGTTCATGGTTAGCAAGCAGTGAAGAGAAACACAGACTTTCATTGACTTAATTCGCTCGTGACAGAAGTGTTGTGTGTACAAAATGGCCGGAGGCCAGACGGACCCAAAACATCAATAAATGAAATAATAGATCCCTTATATTAAGCTAGAAGGGAAAAGATTGTCTAGTAACATACCCAAACATATCATATGCTGCCACGATTTCATTTAGAATTATTTGTTTCATAAACAGAAGTTGATAAACCTTGCGAC